TTTTACAACAACAATGATTTTAAAATCCAAAATTATGTCACTTTCACTTATATTTTGAAGTATTATTTTTTATAGATTTTCTGTCAATATTTAAACTTATCCTTTTTTCTGGAGGATATTTTCTAGGCAGTACTGTAATGTTCACCTAAGAAACGGCTTGAGGTTAAACAGTCGGAAAGCAAGCCCTTAGAAACGACCGTTGTTGCTACTTTCTTAAGACAACAATGGGACTGATATTAAAACCCGCCATTCTGAAATTGCGTTAATTTCGCGGAAAAAATAATTTGGCGCCAATTTGGATTTTTTTCTTTTTTCTGTTTCTTACTTGCCATTAGGGTCAGAAATAGATTTCTTTCGATTTTTCAAGCATGGTTCTTATTATCAAAGAAAATAATACTTAAACATGTTATAAATTGTCCGTCTTTTAAAAATAACGTAATGCCTTTGATCGTCGTTTAAGAACTATGCGAAATTGTCTGTTATTTTTTTCTTCTTTTTTTTCCCAGATAAACAAACTATATAAAAAATTAATAATAAGTATCTCAAAGTTAAAACAAAAATCAAGTCTAACGTTCTATCACCCCTTAGGAAACCCCATTCGAACTAAATTCCAAACGAAAGACATTTTTTGACATTGTAGTTTTTTTATATCTTACACATCGATACACATTTAGTGTGTTTGTTTGAAAAATCAATGGCGAGTTCAGCTGTGAATATTTGACTGGATTAATTATTCTCTTTAAGTCAGTGAATTGTTTGACTTAACTAAAACAAGGTAAGGGAATCATATACTGTCTTTACACAACCTTAACCAAAACCCATTCATCGTTTATAATATTATAAAAAAAATTGTGATGAAGTAATCCTGCAAAACTGCCAAAGGCAAAGGTAAATGAAAAAGTCTTGTCCTAAATATGAGCTTAAAAAAATCTCTTTCAGACTAGCATTTTAATCACTCTTATTCAAAGCATGTTCATACTGACATGAAGTGTGACTTACTTATGACTTGTGATCTAAAACATAATATTGTTGACTTAGCACTCAGAATCTGCTCTGAAATACTTTTATATAAATATAAAAATGCATAATTGTTAAAAAAAATTAAATAGAAGAAGAAAAATATTAGACCCAGTCTGTTTCGTTCTTATCTATTTTCAAGTTCATGATTAGAACCATTTATTTATTGGTTTAGTGTTTTTTTTTTATAATTTGAGTCCATTCATTAGAATCTGCATGGAATCAGTGAGACAAAATTTATTGTTATATTTAGTTTGTTCATACAAGAATTGCAAACTAATTTCCTTTTATTTCAAATAATGAAGAATTTACATTCAGAATACTTTCATTATGGTCTCGTTTAAGTTTACATGAAAAAGGTAGGATCAGGTATCAGTAATGAAAAGGAGTTCCTGTATTTGATCATTTTAATCCTGTCTTGATCCATTATTCATGAATATTTTGGCTACCCCTTGTATGATTAAAGTAGAAATTTATTTCTGTGTTGAAATAATTTGGTTACAGCTGTATAAATACTTACCAAAATATAAATATTAACTGACATATAGCCTTATAGGGCCTTTTGAGTATTTCACTGAGACTGAGTTCTAAAAAGTGATAAAAAGTTTTCGCTAATTTTTTTTGCACATGTCTTTAGTATCAAAATATAATGAATAAAATTATTTTAATAATAATCTCATGTAAATAACAGCATATGGTGCTTAATATAATAATAGTTTGATCATGAGAGTGTCAAACAAAGGGACATAACTCGTAAATTACTATCGGCCCGGCTTCGTCAGAAATATCGACACATCGAAGTGGCACATTTGCGTATTACAGCGTATTAAGTGGCACACATTTGACATAT